AGCAGAGAGATGAATGCTAGAGCTGGGCTTGCATTCTCCTTTCTTAATACTCGGGGCATATATAACTAAAAGTTCCTACTGTGTTAGAAACCACCATCCTACAATATTAATTTTCAGCTTGCTGTGTTCTGTTCTTGCTTCAGTGTCCCTCAGGAGTGTGTACGCACTTTGTGACAATCACAAAAGCACACACTCAGGAGCTGTGTGGCTCTCGTGTGTGTGTGTGTGTGTATGTGTGTGTGTGTGTGTGTGTGTTGCACTTCAGTGCAAAGTTTCCTGGAGTAGCAATAAAACTCTGCCTGGCCTCTGTCCAATTAAATGAGGGCTTGCCTCTTGCCTTGAGGGTCCCATCTGTTCTCCTAACTGCTGCCCATGATCTCTGTAACCTGTCCATCCGTCCTGGCTTTCAGCCCTTGCCCCAATGCCCCAGGGGCTCAGCTTTGCCTGTAGGACAGCATCTGCCCTCCTTGGCACAGCATCCCAAGCTTGTAGTGACCTCTTACCCTTGTCCCCATGAACTCACATCTTTTATTTAAAAAAAACACTCAACACTGGCTATAGCTCTGTGTGTGTGTGTGTGTCTGTCTGTCTCTGTGTGTGTGCAGGTGGCCATGCTATCATGTAGAGGCTGAAGAGGGACATTAAATGTCCTGCTCTTTCGCTCTCTGTTTTGTTCCTTTGAGATGAGGTCTCTCTCTGAGCTTGGAGTTAGGCTGGCAGCCAGAAAGACACAGCAATCCTCCGATCCCCACTCTATGCTAGGTTATAGGCTTGCACAACCATGCCCAGCTTTTTACCTGGATGCTGGAGATTGGAATCCAGGTCCCCACACTTTCACAGCAAGCACTCTTAACCCACTGGCCCATCTCCCCATGCCCACTTTGTTTTTGAGGCAGGGTCTCTCACTGAACTCACAGATTAGGCTGGACTGGCTGACCAATGAATCCACTTGTCTCCACCTCCCTGGCCCTAGGATTACAGATGTACACTGCTTTTTTAAATTAAATTTTAAATAACATGGGTTCTGGGGACAGGACTAAGGGCCTCATGCTGAGCCACTTCCTTGGCCCTGCCCTAGCCTTGTATAGGCCCTTCTTCCCACTCATCTATCTTCTCTCAGATCCAGGAGGTCTCGTTGTACTCCTGGTCAACCTGATCCCTAGCTCATCATTCAAAGCAACTGTGCTATCTTACACCTGTCTCAACAGATGTTGCAGTGTTTTTTCTGCTGCTGTGATGAAACACTCAACCAAAGGCAACTTAAGGGAAGAAAGAGTTTATCTGGAGTACATCTCTAGATCACAGTCTATCACAGTCCATCTTGAGTAAGAAGGAGTCTGAAGCAGAAACTATGGAGTAATGCTGCTTGCTGACTTGTTCACTAACTTCCTTATTTAACTAAGGACTACCTGCCAAGGGAATGGTCCTGCCCACAGTGGGTGAGGCCCTCCCACTCCAATCAAGGTAATCTCTTATACATAAGTCCATAGACCAACCTGATAAAGACAGTACTTGAGACCTTTTCTGGGTGATTCCAGTCTATTGAGTGCTATCTATGACACCAGATGATACTCATGGGGTAGAGACTCATCTTTCCTTCATTGATATACTTTTTTTTTGAGACAGTGTCTCATGTAGCCCAGCCTAGTTTCCAACTCACCATGTAGTCACGGATGACCTTGAACTTCTGATACTCATGCCTCTATCTCCTCAATGCCACTATACCTGATTTAGCCAACACTGGGGATGGAACACAGGGCCTTATGCATGCTAGACAAGTACTCTATCCACTGACTCACATTTCCAGTGCTCCCTCCCTGAATTATTAGTACATCCCAGAGTGTACATGGTAGTTCCTGGGTGTGTGTTAAATGCATGTTGTGTATATGTGTGTGTTTATGTGTATATGTGTGGTATTATATGTGTATGGTGGTGGTGGTGGTGGTGGTGGTGGTGGTGTGTGTGTGTGTGTGTGTGTGTGTGTGTGTGTGTGTGTGTGTGTGTGTTATTCCAGTACATTGCTGCTGAAACAGAAAACCATAGACTGAGTCATGTACAGTGAATAGAAATGTCTTTGGCTTGTGGTTTAGAAGCTCTGCTTATGGCTTCATCCCATAGTGGAAGGGAAAAAGAGGCTACATAAAAACAAGAATGGAGAGAAGGGGCTCACCCTTCCGCCAGGAGCCCCTTTTGAGATGGTTGACCCAATTCTGTGAGCCTCAGGACCTGTCTGGCTGCCTGCTTCCCATCCTCTCTCTAGCTCCATCACCGCTTCCTCTTTCTCCTCATCTTCCTTTTCAAAACAGGGTCTTGTCTAGCCCCGGCTGGCCTCACACTCACTATGTAGCTGAGAAAGACCTCGAACTCCTGATCCTTCTCCACTTCCTGAGAGATGCGGTTACGGATGGGGGTCAATTCCCGATTTGTCCCCATTTCATAAATAAGAATGAAGTGCAGCTCAGTGACCTGCCTGAGGTCACAGAGCTAGTAATGGCAGGGCATGCTCATCACAGTTACTCTGTGGGTGACACGAGGTGTTGAACTGCCTGAAGGAATGGACAAATCACGGGAGGAAGTGGCAAGCACTGCTCAAGCTGCCACAGCATTTAATGTTTTATCATTTGTGTATGTGCTCCCATGTGCTCACACAAGCACATAGGTGCCCATGGTGCATGCGTGGAGGGTAGAGGAGTCCACTCACTCCTTCTACCACGTGGGTCCCTGAGATAAGCATCCCTTCCCTTTGAGCCATCTCGATGGCCCAGTCATTTTCTTGTGTGTGTGTGTCCCTGTGTGTATGCATGTATGTATGTATGTGTATGTGTGTGTGGAAGCCAAAGAGAAATCTGTGTGTTGCTTTTCAGGAGCCAGCCGCCTTGTTACTCTTGAAGCAGGACCTCTTACTGGCTTGGGGATCCCCTGATTCAACTAGGCTGTCTGACCAGTGAGTGTGCCCCAGGCATCTGTCTATCTGTCTGTCCTCATGTCCCCAGTGTTATATTACAACTGAGTGTCACTATACCTAGTCTTCTTCTTCTCTCCTCCTCCCCCTCCTCCTCCCTTTTCTCCTTTTAAATGATGATTCTGGGCTTGAACTCAGACTTGACTGATGGAACCATCTTCCCCATGCCCTCCTAGAAGGAGCGCTTTGAATTAGGCAATCTTACTGTCTGTGTAGGTGACCATGGCCCTCCCCCAGAACATTCCCTGGGAAGGGGCTGCACCTCAGCCTACAGACACCTCCTCCAACAACCTCTTTGATTCTTGTCTCCTAGCTGAGATTTTCAGATTTTAAAGAAAACAAGAGCCTGATTCAGTGTTTCCTCAAGTCCTCTATTTATCTGTTGCTAAAAGAAAAAGAAGAGAAAGATCAAACCAGGAAAAAAATGCCCACACTTTTGTGTCTTGGAAAAATCTGAATGTGTATCATTTCATACCACAACAAACACAGCTCACCATAGAAGCCCAAAGTAAAAAGCAGGAGAGATGATTACCATAAAAACCATACATGTTAGTAAATAAGGGCCTGGACAACCAGTCAGCAAACCCAACTTGGTATACACCGCCGGCAAGAAGAAACACCTCAAAGCTTTGATTAAACCAAATAGACAGAAGTCTCCCAGTAATGCTGGGAGATGCTAATAGACATAGGGTCCAGCAATCCACAGGTTCTCTATGGGATGGTGGCATAAGAGGTTAGCAGCTTTCAAGGGCTTGTGAATTGAGGCACAGAGATACGTTTGTCCAGTGACAAAGACAGATATGTCTGGGTATTTTCCCTGGAATCCCAGGAGTTGTGGGTTGATCCCACTGATTCATCAGAGCTTCCTGACACAGTTGCCAGGATGATGGAGTGCTCCTAACTACCCAACTGGAGAACTCAATTTACTTTAGAGATCTGTGTAAGAAGGATGGACCCTAAGGGAAATCAAAATGAATGTGGGGAGGATGCTTTTTCCCCACCTGGTGGGCAGCAGTATCAGTGGTAAGGGCAGTAGTATAGAACAGGAGCTCCAGGGGTTCCACTATGCAAGAAGAAACTCTGGACTTGCACATGCCAGTTGTTAAAGATGCTGAGTTGTGACTCAGGAAGACAGCTCAGTTGGTAAAGGGTTCATTGCATGAGCATGAGGACCCAAGTTCAACCCCCAAAACCCATATGAAAAGGCTGGGTGTGGTGGTGTGATTGTGTAGTCCCAGTGCTGTAGAGTTGGAGATAGGTACCTTCTTAGAGCTTAGTGACCAGCCAGTCTTGCTAACCTGGTTAACTCCAGGTCTCAGTGATAGAGATTCTGTTCCCCCCAAACAATATGAGGGTAAGTGAGCTATCTGGCTCTGAGAATAAAGAAGCTTGCTGTCAAGCCTGATGGCACACATTTGACTTCTGAGACCTATGTGGTAAAAAGAGAGAATCAACTCTTTGAAAATATCCTCTGACCTCCACATGCATATTGTGGCATGCAAACCACACCCCGACAACTGCCTAAAACACAAAAAGAAAAATTCAAGATAGATGACTCCTGAGAATGATATTCAAGGTCGACATCTGTCACATGCATGTGACTCGTAAGCGCCTCTGAGCAATTTAGTGGAACAGGAAGGCAAAGATTATTCATATTTATCTTGTTTTATGAAGAAACAAAAATCTTGGGTGCAGTGAAGTGATTTGTTCAAAGTCACAAGGTCACCATGGAGTTTTATAGTGTCCAGGCCACCCCTTTCAGACTCCTGACCACAGCAGACATCAGCAATCGATCCGGGAGCACTCTACCACCGAGCTTGGATTCTCTATGAAGTGCTCCTGGAAGCCATTAGCAGTTGACTGGAATTGGCCCTCAACTTCAATTCCCATTTGATCTCCTCCTTTGAATAATGAGAAGACTGAGTCTCTGTGGAGTGAAGGGACTTGGCCAAGATTGCCCTGTGGCTCAGTGATCTAAACCCAAGTCAAAGCCCCTCCCTTGAAGTATATTAAACAATATGGAGTAAGGGTGTGACTCTGTGTGTGTGTGTGTGTGTGTGTGTGTGTGTGTGTGTGTTAGTTAAAATTTCAGGTTGATCGTGACACATGGGCGGACAGTATTTCCTCCATAACTGTCTGCCAGGTTCAGGAGTGAGTGACACGTTTCTTTTTTATGAAAAGGGATAAAAAAGGCACAGGGCTGATGTATTTCCAATATTGAAGTGACCTAACATGGTATTTTCGTGAGTCACAATTGTGAAGTTTTGTGCGGTTTTTTGTATTGATAATCTGACATTTAGAACACATCCTATTTATTCTCGTGCTTTGTGTTCATGTCTCATGCATTATAGAGGGTTCCAGCTTTACTCTTCCTGTCACTTAAAGCAATATGATGAGGGTGGTCCCGCTAATCTGGCAAGGAGCGGGAGAAGGAATGGGAGGGAGAGGAGGAAAAAGAACTAACCAGCCTTCAATATTTCCCCTTTACTTTAAAAACCATTTCTTAAAAGCAATAATTAAATCAGACCTTGCTTAAAAAAGCAATATAAGTTTATTGTATTGTTTATTTAATGTGGAATTTTAAAAGTTTCTCTGTGTGTGTGTGTGTGTGTGTGTGTGTGTGTGTGTGTGTGTGTGTGTTGGCAGTGTCTTCCTCCATCACTATGCCTTCATGCCTTGAGACACAGTTTCTCACTGAACTGGAAGCTCAGTGAGAGAGGCTGATCAGGACCTGCCTGTCTTCACCCTCCAATGCTGGGGATGCTGGCATGTTCAGCCATGCTTGGCTTTTTCCATGGGTGCTGGGGCTTTGAACTCAGGTCCTCATGCTCATACAACAAATGCTCTTACCCATGGAGCCACTTCCTAGACCCCGTCCTTATCTTTTTTCTAAACAAACAAACAGACAAACAGGGTCTTACTATGTAGCTCAGGCTGACCTGAAACTCACCATGTAGCTCAGACTAGCTTTAAACCTGCAATACTTTTGCTTCACCCTCCTGAACCCGGGATTACAGGCATGCGTCATGTCATCAAGTGCAAGCACCAGTTGATGTTTTGAAAACTGCATTCAATATGCGTAGCATGTGCATACACAGAAGCACACCTGTCGTAGCGTATGCATTGTGATCAGAAGACAACGGGTTCTCTCCTTCAACCTTGCAGGTCCTGCCCTCCCCCAACCCCCAGACATCTTGCTGGCCCAACAAGTTGCATTTTTCTAAAACAACTGAGAACTGGAGATAGAAGGCTTGGGAAGACTCAGGTAATGCCATTGCTACTCAATCAAACATTTCCCCCAAACCAAATGCCCAACTACATGCACGCCTTTAATCCCAGCACTTGGGAGGCAGAGGAAGGCGGATCTCTGTGAGTTCGAGGCCAGGCTGGAACGATAGCCTCCGAAACAATACAGAGAAACCCTGTCTCGTAAAAACAAAACAAAACAAAAAAAGTCATATTTTCTTCTAAGGTTTTAGTGAGTTACAAATCCCTTTCTGAAGGTAACAAGCGAATTATCAGCGTCAATAAAATGCAGCTTTACTTGGTACTAGTAACAATTCCCTAAGTCTCAAGGGCTGCTGACCCAGCAGACTGAAAAATAAACAGTGCTTGCAAGATAAAGGTGCTTGCAGCCGAGCCTGCCAACCTGGATTCCATCTCTTGCCTCTGGGGCTCACGTGGTGGAAGAAGAGAACTGACTCTCACAAGCTGTCTTCTGACCACCACACATATGCTGTGCCACATGCACCCCAAAAATTAATAAAAGAGGGACCCTAAGATCCCTAGGCTGTGAAGCTAGCCACTGGGAGAAAAGCAGACTGAGCACAGGTGGCCATCCCATCCCCCACTTGTGGGATCCTCTATGAGAAAGACCGCCCATATGTGTGTTCAGCATGGACGTCAAGACCAGCAAGCATCAGACCAAACAGGCCATGAGGACACTCTGTGATGATGACACTGTCAAAGTCAGTGTCTTGGCTAAGCATGCTGGGGAGGTGTCTCAGTTACTATTCTATTGCTGTGAGGAGGCACCATACCAAGGCAACTTATAAAAGGAGGCATTTAATTGGGGACTTGCTTACAGTTTCAGAGGGAGGGTCCATGGTCATCATGGCAGGGAACCTGGTGGTAGTCAGGCATGGCTCTGGGGCAGTAGCTGAGAGCTTACATCCAAAAAATGGAGGCCGAGAGACAGACTGAGACTGACATGGGTTTATGAAATCTCAAAGCCCACCCTCAGTGACGCACCATCTCCAACAAGGCCACACCTCCTCATCCTTCCCAAGCAGCCTACCAACTGGGGATCAAACAGTCAAATACATGAGCCTATGGGGGCCGTTTTCATTCAAACCAACACAGGAGAAGATACCTACTGATTTAATTAGGATGCTCGGGACATCGCCAGTGAAACTGATCTTCACCAAGCTGAGTCTGGTTGTCTAACCTAAGTACACTTTTTGTTTTGTTTTGTTCTCAGCGCTGAGAATTAAACCTAGAGCCTCACACAGGCCAGGCAAGCACTCTACCACTGAGCTGTATTCCCAGGCCAGCGTACATCTTTCACTGCATGGAAGTGTTTACTGATGGTAGAGTGGGAAAGAGTTATGGTAAATGTGTAGAATGTGCTGTGCAGCCTCAGCAATGCCCGACGTTGGGGAGCTCCCCAGGCCTGCTGAGAAAAAGAGGCCAGGGATGAGACACGACCCTGGATGACTGCATTGGCAGGTCAGGGAAGACGGAGCAGGGCTCACAGAATTTGGGGAGAGGACACTGGGATTGGCTATTGGAAGAGCTTGTAGGAGACACCCTGGGTGTCTATGAATGACCCATGCCTAATGATTGGCTTCACATGTATACATGAAATATCCCTTTGTAGCTGCCCCAAATCACTGCGTGCAGATGACATGAAAATAGAAGTGAAACTACCTAGGGGACAAGGTGGGGGTAGGGGAGGGGTAGGGGAGGGTGACGGGGGGGTATACTTAAAATGCATTTTTTTTGTATGAGACTTACCTTATGCAGCCCAGTCTAAGGAAACAAAACAGAACTGACAGAGCTGTATGTGTAAGACTGCAGCATACAGTGTATGCTCTATCTTAATGAAATAAAATCCTGAGCCAGGGAGATGACTCAGTGTTTGCTGAGCAATGATGAGGATCTGAGTTCAAATCTACAGCATCCACATAATGGCAGGGTGTGGTCACATGCTTGTCTGTGGGGGTGGGGTGGAGACAGTCGGATTGCTGGGGCTTGCTGCCTGTCAGCCTGGCTCCAGCTTTGCTTCTCTCATGAGAGGAAAGTGCTGAATGATGGAGCAGGTCATCTGAAATCCAATTCTGAGTTCGTATATATGTGCACATTTGAACATATATGTGCATAGATGCTCACATACATACAAAAATAATATGAAAAGAGATGATGCCAGGTGTAGTGTGGTGACAAAAGGCGGAGGCAGGAGGATCTCCGTGACTTTGAGACCAGCCCGGTCTACATAGCAAGTTCCAGGCTGGCCAGGGCTATATAGTGAGACCCTGTCTCAAAATAGATAAATAAATAGCAGTTGGAGAGATGGCTCAGCGATTAAAAACCCTGACCCAGGTTTAATTCCCAGCACCCATGTGGTGACTCACAACCTCCTGTAATTCCTCTTTGGGACTCTGTGGGCACCAGGCACACATGTGGTAATAGACATACCTGCAAGCAAAACACCCAAACATGATGATGATGATGATGGTAATAATAATAAAAATAAAAATAAACATGGTGGTTTGAAAAATGGCCCCCAAAGGGAGTGGCACTATTAGGAAGTGAGGCCTTGTTGGAGAAAGTGTCACTGTGGGGCCCGGCTTTAAGGTCTTTTTTTCTCAAGCTTCCCTCAGTGTGACAGTCAGTTGACTTCCTGTTGTCTGTAAGATGTAGGACTCTGAACTCCAGCACCACATCTGCCTGCATGCTGCCATGTTCACTGTCATGATGAAAATGGACTGAACCTCTGAAACTGTAAGCAAGCCCCAATTAAATGTTTTCTTTATAAGAGTTGCCATGGTCTCAGGAGACCACTTCCTAAATATAACTCCAGTAGCAAAGATACTGAGAGCAACAATGAATAAATGGGACCTCCTGAAACCAAGAAGCTTCTGTAAAGCAAAGAACATGGTCAACAAGACAAAACAGCTCCCTGAAGAATAGGAAAAGATTTTTACAAACCCCACGAATGACAGAGGACTGATCTCCAAAATATATAAAGAACTCAAGAAATTCGACATCTAAAGACCAAACAGGTCTAAATAGAGAACTCTCAACAGAGGAAACTCAAATGGCTGGAAGACACTTAAGGAAATGCTCAACATCCTTAGTCATTAGGGAAATGAAAATCAAAACAACTCTGAGATACCATCTTACTCCTGTCAGAACAGCCAAGATGAAAACCTCTGATGATAGCTTATGCTGGAGAGGGTGTGGAGTATGGGGAACACTCCTCCATTGCTGGTGAGAGTGCAAACTTGTATAGTCACTTTGAATATCAGTATGGCAGTTCCTCAGAAAATTGGGAATCTACCTACCCCAAGACAAAGAAATACCACTTTTGGGTATATACCCAAAGGATAAACACTCATACCACAAGGACACTTGCTCAATTATGTTCATAGCAGCATTATTTGTAATAGTCAGAACCTGGAAACAACCCAGATGCTCCTCAACTGAAGAATGGATAAAGGAAATGTGGTACATTTACACAATGGAGTACTACTCAGCAGTAAAAAAAAACAAGGACATCTTGAAATTTTCTGGCAAATGGTTAGATCTAGAAAAAGTCACCCTGAGTGAGGTAACCCAGACCCAGAAAGACAAACATGGTATGTACTCATTCATAAATGGATATTAGACATAAAACAAAGGACAACTAGCCTACAGGTCACAACCCTAGAGAACCTAGGTAACAAAGAGGACCCTAAGAGAAACATACATGATCCACCTAGGAAGGGGAAAAAGACAAGATCTCCTGAGTAAATTGGGAACATGGGTATAGGGTGTAGGATGGAAGGGGAGAGGGGAGGAGGGAAGGGGAGTGAAGAAAAATGCATAACTAAAAAAAAAAGAATTGACATGGTTATGGTATCTCTTCAAAGCAATAAAAATATGAAAACTAAGACAATAGTAATAATAAATGACGTAAAATACAAGTTTCTTTTTCACTGATGGGCATTAGTGTTGCATTACAACAGAGACCACAGCCTGGGGTTTGTATCAATGCTCTCATGGTGGGACAGAGTTGAAATGGATACTCAGCACTAGAGGAAATGCTGTTAGGTCTTGGTGAGATGGAATTTCCAAAAGTTAGAACTCAACTCACAGTTTTAAAAATGTTTCAGACAAGGGCTGGGAGTAGGGTCATGTGGCTCTCTCAGCAAAGCACTTGTTATGCAAGCATGAGGACCTAAGTTCAATCCCCAGCATAGACATAAAGTGTGGTCATGCAGGTGCATGCATGAAACTCCGACACTGGGGTGGAGACAGGAGGATCTATAG